CAAGTGGCCAACGAACTCGGTTTGGATAAAGAGGTTTGTGACATTTTCACCAGATTTCTTGCCTCTTATTGGTCCCCTTGCCCTAAATAAAGCCCCATTCAGGTGGTTCGAGTTTGGTTCTGTAATCGACGGCAAAAAGAGAAGCGAATGACGCCTCAGTTCGATCAACAGATGATGATTACCAGTCCATATCCGCCCTCGGATATCTTCTACCCAAGCGGTTTACCGATTAATCCTACCCAATTCGAGCTTCGAACAGGCTCCGGATCCGCGTGAAAACGGGCAGAATCCTACCCGAACTGGCTTCTACCTCTCTGCCATTCTTCATAGGATATCCCATCACCCCCCCCCCCTTCAACCAGCTCTCATCGGGCGCTTGATCTCCGCCGCCTGGCGTTCGATGGTGAAGTTTGGTTGACAAGTCTCTTCATTATGTTGTTTCACCCATTGATCCGAGTGTGTGTACAGAGACATTCCATAATGGCTGGGCAAAAACTAACTACGTAATTACGTATCATGCACATTGCTCTCCGCCATATCTGCTCAGCTACCGTATCCCAGTCAGATACGTCGCCATTGTTGTTTCGTTCGTATATGTATGTGTGTCTGGATTTTATTTATATACGTTCGTTCTTTGCGCACAAGGGTAGCGGGCCACTGGGCTCGCCGATTTTCAGTTTTTTTTTTCAAATCAGAGAGACGCTATTTATTTATTATTTTTTATTCGTTATTATTCACGTTGTTCTGTGAGACCAAATGTGTGATATTGCTGTAATAAAATGAATGCCATTTTCGGATTTTTCTGACTATTTGTGCCCTTAGGTGAAGGCCTTACGGTAGCCCGATAAGATGTGGTGTATTGGTGCAATAGTTCGTGCGTATTACGGTAATCCCTATTTTGCACAGGTGTTCTTTACTGCCGCTACCTTGTTGATTCATCATTTCTCCGATTTTTGACGGTTACTTGGGTCCTTAACGGGGGACCTGGCAGTAATCTAGTAAGATATGGCATATTGGTGCAATAGTTCGTGGGTATTACGGTGATCCCAGTTTTAGGACTCCTCTTATACGATTAGGCTTGTTGATTCACCATTTCGGCAGTATTTTTGGCTCATTGGGCCATTAAGGGAAGACCTGACGGTAACTACCAAGGTGC